GGTAAAACTGCCAGCCAGGCGCGTCAGGGACAAAGCCAAGGAAGACACAGGGAAGCGTGCGGGAGGAGAGCTTGTCCGCAGACGTATCGCGGACAAGGGCACGAGCACCCCACACCCGGAAGCGCGACGCATCGCCAACCTCCCCCGTCCAACGCAGTGTGGGCGAGGTCTCCGGCAAGGAGACACGGGGCCAGAGGTTGAGCTGATGCGCGGCGTACCGGACAGCAAACGGCCACAGAAAATGGGGAGCCGCCGCGTGGACCAAGGAGGTACGAGCGACCTCCATGACCAGGCCAATGCGGCGCTCAGCAACCCCATTCTGCTGTGGGGAGTCCGGAAGCGTGAAGGTCTGCTCGATGCCCTCCGCCTGACAGAAGGTCCTCAAGAGATCGGAGGAAAACTCACCACCTCTGTCAGAGTGCAGACGCAGGACAGGAAGATCCGTCCGGAAACGGCGGCGGAGCTGGAGACGAACCGTGCGGATCCAAGGGATCAGAACAGCAGGGACCTCACCCTTGGTGCGCAAGGGGAAGACCGTGGTGTAACGCGAGTAGTCGTCGACAACCAGCAAAAAGTACCGCTCACCGCCCTGACCACGAACGCGGGCTGGGCCCCACACGTCCAGGTGGAGGGTCTGCAGAGGAGCCTCTGTCGGGGGGAACGAGGAGGAGTGAGGAGCGGCGCGCTGCCGCCCCTCGACGCAAGGAAGGCAAGGCGGCGCAGGCGAGGCAGGGAGGGGAGGGAGGGACCTGGGAAGACCGGACACAAGGAGGCGACGGTGCATGCCACGAAGGCGTGGCAAGGAGGGGTGACCCAGGCGGTGGTGCCAGAGAAGAGTCTGGTGCGACAGGGAACGACACTCACAGGCGTGGGCCACCAGACCTGACGCAGACACCTGACCGACAGCAGCTACCTGGGGAGACGCAGTGGTCAGTGTGTAGAGACTCGACCCCGGCCGACGGGTGAACGTAGCCAGGTGACGGCCGGTCCTGGAGCACGTGCAGATCGCCACACGCTGTCCGCCAGGGGTAAAGGTGTCAACCCACTGATCCTGGAGGACAGCGTTGCTCACCAGGTTCGTCGAGAACGAGGGGAGGTGGAAACCCGACAACGAGCCAGACGGAACCGCCGGACAAGGGAGGACAGTGGTGGACTGGGCAAGGACTGGGCCCCCAGAGGGGTCAGCCAAGGAGACTGGGACCGGTGCAGGAAGCGGTGTGAGCTCAGTACTGTCACGAAAGAAGCAACGGGAAGCACCTGAGTCAAGGGTGAAGGTGTGACAGGCCTCAGCCGGTGCGGTACCTGAGAGAGGAGTCTCTGTGGGTGCTGTACCTGAGAGAGCAGACTCGAAACCAGCCGGGACAGCACTGGGGGGAGCAAGTACAGGGGGCACCATACCAGAGAGAGCAGACTCACTAGTACCCAGGGCAGCGGGCTCTATACCTGGGTCAGGCGGCACACACAAGTAACAGTCTCCCTCGGCACTAACAGTCAATGCATACATGGCAGCAATAATAGCATCATAGTCAAGAGCAAAGACATCAACACCAGCCCTCATGAGCTCAGCCCAGCGGGGGCGCTCAACATCCGCACCCATCTCCTCACGCCAAGCGTCGTCAAGGCGGGAGAAGCAACGGTACGGGGTGTGGAACCTCCCACACGTCTGTCCCTTGCGGTCACCTGTGCGAATGACATAAGAACAGCGGGCACTGGCCCCCGACGTCCCACGCTGAGCAAGCCACTCACGAAGCTGCTGGGTCGTCTGGGGACGCTGCTGCTGCTGGGAGCTCTGGCCCGAGCCAGTGCCTCCACTCCGACCTCCGCCGCCACCACTGCCACCGCTCCGACCGCCACCGCCACCACCGCCACCACCGCCACCGCCGCCACCGCCGCCGCCGCCACTACTGCCACTGCTTCCTCCGCCGCCCCCGCCTCCACCACCGACCCCACTCCCACCAGCGCTCCCGCCACCGCTCCCTCCAGCACCGCCTCCCCCCCCACCTCCCCCACCTCCTCCCCCCCCAGCGCCACCACCACCACTTTTGCCCCCCTTGCCCTTGCCGGTGCGGCGCCTCCCACCAGGAGTAGAAGCAGCGCCAACAGACTCAGCACCAAGGAAGTCAACAGCAGCAGCAGCAGCGTAGGAGGGAGCGAGGGGAGAGGGAGAACACCCCTCAAAGATGGGGGTGCGAGGAGCGCCACGAGCAGCACCGACAGCTACAATGCTCTTTTCGGCCGCGAGCAGGTGCTCCTCTAGGAGGGCGACTGTGAGCTCAGTGGGACAGCGAGCAAGGAAGTGGTCTCGAACTGAGCGGAGGGTGTCAGGGAGACGGGTGACTATGAAGTGGAGTGTCCAGTACAGTGGAGGGGGGTTCTTAGCGCAGAACTCGGTGGGAAGGGCGGCACGCAGGCGAGCATCACTAGTGCGAAGGTGGGTGATAAGATCGGCGACTGTAGTAAAGGTGGACAGATCGGGGAACAGGTACGGCAGCATGAGGCGGCTAAGCTCGGCTGTGGCAGGCGAGGAGTAGCGAGCGACGACAGCGTCGTACAGGGCCTTAGCGGATTTGCAGTCGCCAAAATGCTCGAGCTCAGCTAGCGGGAGGTGACTGCGAATGGCTAGGCGAGCAGCTGCGTCACGAGTCTGCTAGTGGGAACGAACACTAAGCTCGGCTGTGGCAGCAGGAGCAGCGGCAGCACCAGACGCGTAGTCATAGAGGGAGATGTGGTCCGTGCTATTGCTCATAAGATACAACTGCAGGTCGTCGAGCCAGGAAGTGAACTGCACGGGACGGCCCTCAGCATCGAAGGAAAGAACGCGAATAGAGGCCATAGCTCAGGCGTGAGGGCACAGCAGAGCAGCGGCAGCAGCAGAGGGGACACGCTAGAGCGAAGCTAGTAGCCACAGCAGGAGAAAGCGGCAGTGCACAGGCAGGGAGCAGCAGGTGAGAAGCGCGGCGGGCTGCGAAGCGGGCAGCGGTGTGGGCGGGCGACGCAGCAAGCGGGCAGTGAGGCAGCGGGCGGCGCTGCGAAGCAGGTAGCGGGCGAGCGGGCGGCGCTGCGAGCGGGCAGCGAAGCGGGCGGGCCGCGAAGCGGGCAGCTAGCGGGCGGGCGGGCTGCGAAGTGGGCGGGCTGCGAAGCGGGCAGCGGGGCGAGCGGGCTGCGAGGCGGGCGGGCCGCGAAGCGGGCAGCGGGCGGGCGGGCGTTCTGCGAAGCGGGCAGCGGGGCGAGCGGGCTGCGAAGCGGGCGGGCCGCGAAGTGGGCAGCTAGCGGGCGGGCGGGCTGCGAAGTGGGCGGGCCGCGAAGCGGGCAGCGGGGCGAGCGGGCTGCGAGGCGGGCGGGCCGCGAAGCGGGCAGCGAGCGGGCGGGCGGGCTGCGAAGTGGGCGGGCCGCGAAGCGGGCAGCGAGCGAGCGGGCTGCGAAGCGGGCGGGCCGCGAAGCGGGCAGCGAGCGAGCGGGCTGCGAAGCGGGCGGGCCGCGAAGCGGGCAGCGAGCGGGCGGGCGGGCTGCGAGCGGGCGGCTCGGCGAGGGGCGCGCGAGGGCGCTAGTGAGGGGCGCGCGAGGGCGCTAACGAGGGGCGCGCGAGGGCGCTAACGAGGGCGCACGAGGGCGCTACGAGGCTAGGGCACGGGGTAGCGTGGTAACCGCATGCGAGCGGTGGTGGGCCCTAAAAAAACGGTCGGTAGGTCCTAGGGACCTCCTGCTCTGAATACCATGTCAGAATCACTAGGCAAGAATGGATGAACTAACAGAAGTTTGGGTACAAATATGAAACCCTAGTTGGGGTTGTACCCCATATTGGCTACCCCACTACAGCCTACAAGCATAATACAGTTTAACACACCGGGCATAATGCGTCGAGCATCACGTGCACGGCGCGTTGCGCAAGCACGCCGTGCATCTGCTCGGCGCGATCAAGGGGATGCACCGAGCATCACCTGCACGGCGCGCCGCGATTGCGCCGTGCATCCGATCGGCGCGACGAATGGGAAGGAAGAGCATTCAATGCACGGCGCGCTGCGCAAGCATGGCGTGCTGAGCATTCAATGGACGGTGCATTGCAGAGAACTATAGTTGGAAAGGGGAACTTTGCATTCACTACCAATAACATGCCTGGCGAAATTAGTGACTGCGTGAGAGAGAACTAACCTGGGAGAGGATTAATCGAACAATCCGAACAGGCCCACATTCGCAGATGTTCCCTAAACTTCCACGCCACGAGCTCCACGAGCTCCGCTTGTGACCACGGCAGGAGCGGTCAAGGTATAGGTTCGGTGGTGAGAGCAGAGAGAGTCAACTTCGAGTGGAAAACCAACAGCAGGTACTTAAAGCTTTCGTATACATTTGAAAGTACTGTTTGTGGTGGAACAGTAGCCACCAAGATTTCGCCCCAACGAAAAGAAAGGGGCTTGGCGAGAGGGGTTGCGAAAATTTTGAGGATTGAGGGGTGGGAACACGAGAAACTCTCTCGTCACCCAACCCTTGAGCGACACACACAATCACAAGTGAAAGCAATTAATTACTACGAAAGGCCTTGATAGAACTAGCAGCGCAACTACTCACCCTGACCTAATCGCCCGTGGTAAGGGGACACGGGGCTATACAAAAGCCTTTAGCTGCAGGGGCGGTTTGCATTCGGATGGGCCGCCGCGTAGCATTCGTCGAGCGATGCCATGCGGCACACGACGAGCGCCTCGACGAGTTGCATTATGCTGGCTCGGCGCGATGCAATCGTCGAACCAGCGATAAATTATTCAGTGAGCCGTCGCGTTCCACCCTGCGGGCTTCTCGTCTAGCGCCATCATGCATCGCGAAACCCGCTGATGGCGAAACCCGCTGATGGCGAAACCCGCTGATGGCGAAACCCGCAGATCGCGAAACCCGCTGATCGCGAAACCCGCTGATCGTGAAACCCGCTGATTGCGATACCCGCTCCTCGCCAAACACGGTGCTCACGAAATCCGTTTAGCGCGTCCCCCGCTTCTCGCCTCACCCGCCGCATGCCTCACCTGCGAATCGGCACACAACTCGCCTCACGCGCTGCTCGGCTCATAACCCATTTCGTCATTTCCCCCCCTTCCGCCTCTCATTTCCCGGAGCTCCTCCCTCTCGTTTCCCCCCTTTCTCCCTCTCGTCCCCCCCCCCCTTCCGCCTCTCATTTTCCCCCCTTCCGCCTCTCGTTTCCCCCGCTTCTCCATCTCGTTTCCCCCCCTCCTCCCTCTCGTTTTCCCCCTCCTCCCTCTCGTTTTCCCCCTCCTCCCTCTCGTTCTCCCCCCTTCCGCCTCTCCTTTCCCCCCCTTCCGCCTCTCGTTTCCCCCTCTCCTCCCTCTTGTTTCCCCCCTCCTCCCTCTCGTTTCCCCCCCTTCTCCCTCTCGTTCTCCCCCCTTCCGCCTCTCTTTTCCCCCCCTTCCGCCTCTCGTTTCCCCCCCTTCTCCCTCTCATTTCCCCCCTCCTTCCTCTCGTTTCTCCCCCTTCCCCCTCTCGTTTCCCCTCCTTCTCCTCTCATTTCCCCAACTTCTCCCTCCTATTTTCCCCCTTCTCCCTCTCATTTCCCCCCCTCCTCCCTCTCGTTTCCCCCGCTCCTCCCTCTCGTTTCCCCCCCTCCTCCCTCTCGTTCTCCCCCCTTCCGTCTCTCCTTTCCCCCCCTTCCGCCTCTCGTTTCCCCCCCTCCTCCATCGCGAAAATGACAAGTGCCGAAAGTCACAAAAAAGTGCTCGAAATGTGACTTTTATGTGACAGCAAGTCCGGCGTTTTTTAGTCATGGTTGAAAGTACCGGCCACGATGTTCCCTGCGTTGTCACGGAAATGTCACGTAAATGTGACATAATGTCACACAGAATGTCACAGTAGAGTGTCTGGTGAAGCGACTTTCTCGTCACTTTTATGTAACCTTGCCACGTGTCACGTATGCCAAGATATTTTGCCACGTGTCATTGTCGTTGATTGGTGGATATGAACCAATCAAACCTCGGGGACGTGGGTGCAGAAATGTTTTATGATTGGGTGGCGATTATTATCGAGCGACGCAGCATCGCCCATTTCCGTACGCGGAAATTTCAGAATACAGCAGCTGGCATTTCGAATGGGCTCCTTTAGTCACATCACATGCGCAACATACAAGTTACTACACAGATGTACGAACTAAAGCTACCGAAAGATGTGCGAACTAAAGCCACTGCGCAGATGTACGAACTGAAGCCACTGCGCAGATGTACGAACTGAAGCCACTGCGCAGATGTACGAACTAAAGCCACTGCGCAGATGTACGATTGGCGAGCAACTGCGCAAATGTACGAACGTGTAGCCCGGAACACCGTGGCGTGGCTACGAAAACATCTTGCCAGTATGGTCGTTCGGAACTGTCAAACCTGCAAAAAAGAAGAAAGCTAATACAGAACAAAATGGAACGTGATGAATCTGCACACAAAAACATCACCAGTTATGTGAGTGATGAAACCCGCAAGACAATCATAGCAATAGATCGTGAGTCTCAGGAAACATGGGGCGGAGCGTTCGAGGGGCTAGTGCAACGGTACCTATGTTTTAACACCAAAAATAGCAGGGATGACGTCACGACAGATCCACATGCACACACACAAGCCAACGTCATGATGCTATGCCGGTCGCAAAATCGCACAGTCAGCATCAAAGCTTGCCTGAATGACAAAAGCGAAGTACGGAACGGTCGAACTGGAATATGCGCCACTGCACTTTTGTCGCTGTTTTTCGAACATGCTGCACAAAGTAGCATGACATGCTCCTTGGTGGTGCTGGCTGCAGTCGCACTGCACCTTGCGTTCTGCCACAAAGAGATAAACAAAAGCAATATGAAGAAGAGAGAGAATCGAGACCATAGGAAACAAAGGGCTACGCAGTCGCGTAGGCCATCTGCCACGCGTTAAAGAGAAGGTGTTTGAGCCAGGCAACACACTGGGCACTGACCAGTACAGTTGACCCCACCGGTTGCCTGGGTGGCGGTTTAACATCGTTATGCTTGCGGCGTTGAAGCGCTGTGATCTGCCACGCGGGGCACCAGAGGGGAGTGGCATGTTGGCAAGTGGGGGGGCGGATGGGGAGAGTAGAGAGAGAATGAGGTATGCGGTTCCAAGTAGCTTCTCTAATGAAAAAAAACACGTGGTGGGGGTTGAACAACGATAGGTATAAACACACCGCCTAGAGCATGAAGGTAGAGCACAGTTGGCTGAGTGTGCTAGATGGGTGTGACAAATAGGAGGCCACACAAACAAGGTTTGAACAAACTGTGAGATGCAGGGAGCATTTGTATGGGAAAGTGAAGGTTGATGGGGGTTTGGGTGATCCACGGTCCGGTTCGGTGTGAATAGTGGGAGGATAAGGGAAGGTGAAAGTTTTGTTTAGGTGCACTCCAACGATTGGCTCAAATGATTCTTGAGGCTCGGCTTAGACGGTTCAGGAAGGTTGGGAAATATGGAGGTTTAAAAGGTGTGACGTGGAACGTTCGCGAAACCTTGATGCGACGCACATTTCCCTAGAGTAGCCTTGATTGGTTTGCACACGCCACTGTCGAGTCTGACGTGTAGCATCGAAGCGCAAAAATCTTCGTTTTGTTTTTTACGACCGTCACGAAGTAGTTTCACCGTCTGTTATTTGTTTCGCTAGTGTTCGGGTTGCTTCGCATGCCTCGTGATCACTGCATTCAAGTTGGTTTGTTTTTCTCATTCAGCAATACACAGGTAAACCGCCTTCAAACGCTTTCAACCACTGTCGTAATTCTCGTGCGAAACCAGGCCATCTACTTCCTAGCCAATTCCGTGGACGCATTTGCGACTAACAGCTTCTAGTCACTGGGAAGTTACAACAGCGTGACTTTTTTGTCACGTTTGCGGTGTACGTTAATGTGACATTTCCGTCACCATCCCGGCTGGGACTTTTTGTATGACGTCGTGACTTTCTGGGAGCTTTTTGGTGGAAAAACCTACGGGGCCCTGAAATTTGGATCAGCCTTTTTCGCGATGTCCCTCTCGTTTCCCCCCCTTCTCCCTCTCGTTCTCCCCCCTTCCGCCTCTCCTTTCCCCCCCTTCCGCCTCTCGTTTTCCCCCCTTCTCCCTCTCATTTCCCCCCCTCCTTCCTCTCGTTTCCCCCCCTTCCCCCTCTCGTTTCCCCCTCTCATTTCCCCCCCTGCTCCCTCTCATTTCCCCCCCTGCTCCCTCTCATTTCCCCCCCTGCTCCCTCTCATTTCCCCCCCTGCTCCCTCTCATTTCCCCCCCTGCTCCCTCTCATTTCCCCCCCTGCTCCCTCTCATTTCCCCCCCTGCTCCCTCTCATTTCCCCCCCTGCTCCCTCTCATTTCCCCCCTGCTCACCCTCACTTCCCCCCCTGCTCACCCTCACTTCCCCCCTTTCTCCCTCTTCATTTTCCCCTCTCCTTCCCCTCATTTCGCCCTCCTTCCCCTCATTCACTCTTTCCTTACCCTCATCTCCCCCTCTCGTTCCTCGCATTTCCCCTACTCCGTCCCCTCGTTTCCCCCTCCCCCCTCATTTCATCCTCTCGTTCCACAAAATCCCCACCTCTCGTTTCCCACATTTCCCCTTATCCGTCCTCTCCTCTCCCTCTCTCCTTCCCCTCTTTTACCCCTCCCTCCCCTTATTTTCCCCTCTTCCTCCCCTCATTTTTCCCTCTCCTTTCCCTCATTTCCCCCCTCCTTCCCCCCATTTCCCTCGAGGAGGGTCCGGGTGAGTGCAAAACTGTGTGCGGCGCACACAGGCATAGAGGGACAAATCGTTTGCGCTGGAGTAATCCGCCCTTGCTCTTATGTTGCCGCGTCTGCTCACGAATGCGCTCGTCAGCTCTCCAGTTGTCACACAATCAGCTTTGCACCTCCCACCACCCACTGAGTTCAAGCCTCTCACGTGTTACCATGTCACCACTGCTGTATATCTTCCCTACATGGCTCTCTCCCTCTCCTCTCTTCACACGTTGTTCTGCCCTGCCATGCCCTTCCCTTGCCTTCCTTACCCTTCCCTGCCCCCACCCTGCCGGCAGGTGAGTGCGCTCATGCTGCTGGCGCGGGTGAGGGAGCTGCAGCGCCCTCACATGCTGCACATTCCTTCCCCTCCTCCCCCCTTTGCCTACCCTTCTTTACTTCCCTCCATGCAACCCTTGCTCCCCCTTTGCTTCCCCTCCATTCACCTCCAGCTTACCCCTCTGTTTCTTCTGCAGCTTGCCCTTGTCTGTATTTTTTTTTGTTCGCTTTTTTTTTTTTTTTTTTTCAACAGCACGAAGGACACCCGGCCTTCTCATTCTGAGTGCTGATCTTTGCAGCTTAGTGAAACCGAATAAATAGGCAGAAAGTTCCAGCTTGTGTGTGCTCTTAGCGTATCAATCAACTGAATTGATAGCATGCCATAATACATCAGTTTATTCAATATGCTGATGACTGTACCTAGAAACAACTTCCCTTCTTTGCGTACAGCATCCTTGCATGATGCATATGGGCACATCACAGCATTGTATGCGACATGTGACATGTGTTGTACACAACTCAAGATACATGGAGGGTTGTCATCTGCTCTTGCTGGTCATAATTTGTTCAACACTTGTGTCTGATGCTGCTCCCAATAAGCTGCCTAACTCTGCTGAACCTGAACTTGTCCTGCTCGAAGCGGTAACAAAGGGAGGAGAGATGGGAAAACAGGTGGAAAGGTGGAGAGTCCGGAACGGATGATAAGGAGGTAGGACGCAGAGGTTTGGTGACAGGAATGGGAGATGGGGAAGAGAGGAAAAAAGAGGGAAAGGCAGGAAGATTGCAGAAAAGTGGGAAGGGCAGGAAGAGAGGGGAAATGAGGGAAAGTTAGGAAGAGAGCTGAAAAGAGAGAAGGCAGCAGGAGAGGGGAAAAGAGGGAAAGGCAGGAGGATCGTGAAAAAGAGGGGAAGGGTAATGCAGGGAGGGGAAGGGTAATGCAGGGAGGGGAAGGGTAATGCAGGGAGGGGAAGGGTAATGCAGGGAGGGGAAGGGTAATGCAGGGAGGGGAAGGGTAATGCAGGGAGGGGAAGGGTAATGCAGGGAGGGGAAGGGTAATGCAGGGAGGGGAAGGGTAATGCAGGGAGGGGAAGGGTAATGCAGGGAGGGGAAGGGTAATGCAGGGAGGGGAAGGGTAATGCAGGGAGGGGAAGGGTAATGCAGGGAGGGGAAGGGTAATGCAGGGAGGGGAAGGGTAATGCAGGGAGGGGAAGGGTAATGCAGGGAGGGGAAGGGTAATGCAGGGAGGGGAAGGGTAATGCAGGGAGGGGAAGGGTAATGCAGGGAGGGGAAGGGTAATGCATTGCATGGAACCTGTGAGGCAGGGCGATGCCACACTGGGCAACGCGACAAGCGACGATCGTGCGATGGTGCCTTCCCTCGCGATGACGAGCGGCGGGGGGCGAGGAGAGACTTATGGCGGACCGGCAGTTTTAGTGCCGCCTCTTGTCGCTTACTTTCGGGAGGCGGGGCCTCTCGATAAGCGACGAAATGAGCGGGAGAAAGGGGGGGCATGACAAGGAGCAGGGGGGGAAATGAGAGGGAGAAAAAGGGGGGAATGAGGGGGGGCATGGGGGGAATGAGGGGGAGAACGGATGGAAATGAGAAGGAAAAAGGGGGCAATGAGCGGAAGAAGGGGGGGAAATGAGAGGGAGAAGGGGGGGGGGAACGAGAGGGAGAAGGGGGGGGGGGAAACGGGAAGGAGGAGGGGGGGAGATGAGAGGGAGCAGGGGGGGGGGGGGAAGAGCGAGGGAGAAAGGGGGGAAATGAGCAGGTGAATGGGAGGGAAACGAGAGGGGGAAAGGGGGGGAATGATGGGGAGCATGAGGGGAAATGAGAGGGAGAATGGGGGGAAATGAGAAGGGGACAGGGGGGACATGAGAGGGAGAAGCGGGGAAAACAAGGAGGAGAAGGGGGGGAAATGAGAGGGGGAAGGGGGGTAAACGAGAGGGAGAGGGGGAGAAACGAGAGGGAGAAGGGGGGGAAACGAGAGGAAGAAAGGGGGGAAACGGGGTAATGGGTAGGCGGAAAGGGGATATGGGGTGGCGGTAAGGGGTAATGGGGAGCGGGAATGGGAAACGGGGAGGCAGGAAGGGGTAATGGGGAGCGGGAAGGGGAAACAGGGAGGTGGGAAGGGGAAACGGGGAGCGGGAAGGGGAAATGAGCAGGCTGGAACGGGAATTGAGGAGTAGAGAAGGGAAAACGGGGAGGCGGGAAAGGGTAATGGGGAGTGGGATAGGGAAATGGGAAGGTGGGATAGGGAAATGGGAAGGTGGGAAGGGGAAACGGGGTGACAGAAAGGGGAACTGGGGCGGCGGGAAGGGGAAACGGGGAGGTGGGAAGGGGAAACGGGGAGCGGGAAGGAAAATCGGGGAGGCGGGAAGGGGAAATGGGGAGACGGGAAGGGGAAACGGGGTGGCGGAAGGTGGAATTGGGGAGGCGGGAAGGGGAAACGGGAAAGTGGGAAGGGGAAACGGGGAGCGGGAAGGGGAAACGGGGAGCGGGAAGGGGAAACGGGGAGGCGGGAAGGGGAAACGGGGAGCGGGACGGGGAAACGGGAAGGCGGGAAGGGGAAACGGGAACGGGACGGGGAAACGGGGAGGCGGGAAGGGGAAACGGGGAGTCGGGAAGGGGTAATGGAGAGCGGAAAGGGGAAACGGGGAGGAGGGAACGTGAATTGGGGTGGCGCGAAGGGAAACGAGGAGGCGGGAAGGGGCTGGAAGCTCCCGTTTCTGCAGTCGTTCACGCACTCAAGTGCGGCTGCCGGGGCTAGTGCAGAAACGTGGTAGCGAGGCTGTGCGATCGGGCCGCGACTGTGATCGTGCGTGTTCGGCAGTTCTAGACGAGTTGTGCGCGTTCACGGTGGCGTAAGGAGGCAGCGTCGTGTGGCGACACGACGGACGACGAGGCGAGGCCGTGAGAGGAGGTCCCCCGGGATAGCCGCGTGAGAGGGCGGAACTGACGTTGGTTTATCTCTATCATTACACTAAACTGCCCCACGCGTCTAGGTTTGTGTCGGAAACGGGGGTAATTTGCGCTGGCTGTTGAGTCGCGATGTGCTTAGCTACATATTATGCTACCTGTAGAGCGCAGTGGCGTAGATCTCATATAGGCTGGATTTCGTATACTTTTGTCGACCCAAAAGTTTTGAATCACCAGCGAGTGCTGGGTGTCGGGGAGATCTCCCTCCCTTGTTCAGCGAGTGAACTAGCAGTAATGGGGTTACCAAAATTTCAAATTTCAAAAGTTTTGAACCTTTCTCTTTCAAATGTATACAAAAGCTTTAAAGCAGGTGGGGTACTTACATTACAACTCCATCCAGTCATGTGAATCTGGCTTGCCCACAACCTCACCGAACCATTAAAATCGCCTCTCAAAAGGCTCTTGATTACATTCACACCGTTTGGAACCGCAGTCGGACACACACTACACATCACTCGAAACGTCGCAACGCATGCAGATGCGAACCAGTGGTGCACTCTGTTTGTGAGTGGTGCAAAACACTTTTACAACGGCTTGTTAATCTAGCGGACCGCATAATAACAAAATCAATGTGCGGTAGTTGACTCTGTAGGAACCTGGTGCCGATGTGAATTTCGGCTGAAACTCGAGCGCACCGCGCGAGACAAAAAAACATGCGACTCGTTCTCACTCGTGCCGCGAGACGCCCAAACGGCGCGTTGACCGATGGCCCGAGTATTGACTCGCGGGAACAACGGTGAGTAATAGTTAATCTATATAAACAGAGAAACCAACATAACGGCATGCATAAACGCAACTATATATCTGGCTGCGAAAAAAAAAACCCATGGCTAGTAAAACACATGGATATTGGAAATATTATACAATATGAACAATTATTCTCATACATATTCGAACCGCATCCTGAAAAAAATGACGCCTTATATATTTATAGTAACAGAATTGAACCTATATCAATACTACTAACACAACATGTTACAGTGTTAATGTTACCCGTGTAATATAAAACATTAAGTATGATTAACCTTGAACTCCCTATCTAACACACGCCCAAACATAATTCCATAAGCCACAAATGTAAGTAACATTTTAATACGCCAAATTAACTGTGTACACTACAAATAGAATTTATCAGTGGCCAAAACATGTCACAGGCCACACGTCGCCACAAGCGTGGGAAAGCTAGCTGAAGGGGTGACGTGTCACTCGAAGTCCCCCTAAACAGAGTATCCTGCTGGGGTGACGTGTACGCGAAAGCAAAACGACCGTAAATAGCTACGTCGGTGAATCGAACATCCCATCCACTCCCAAAGCACGCATCATAGTTCCAGCCCATCCGGGCCCTGGTGGAATGGCTTTCACCAGGGCCCCCTCTTGGTGGGAACCCGTTCCCACCAGGGCCGCACGCGGATGCACGGGCTGTCGCGACCCACAGCTGGGAAAACGCACGCGAGAGGGAGTCCCCCGCCCCCTCCCAGGTCCCTAGCGAGATCCGGGCAGCGGAGTTAGCTGGCAGCTGCCCCCGCGCCGAGCCCCCTCCACGCCAGCGCCACGCAGCCCGGGACCACACCCGGATGTCCCCCGAAACCCAGCCCTGGCTCACAAATCCCCTCGTGAAACCCCTCGCGAGCCAATCACGCAGCCGAAGCGGGTCCGGCCAATCGGAGCCGTTTCCGATGGGCTAGGGGGCCCGGATGGACCTAGCGAAACACTTCGCAGGCATGGCCGCTCGTGC